TCTCTCTCTCTCTCTCTTCCCCTCTGAAGTGCGATTTCCAATTAAGTGTGTGCAGACAGCTGTTACTGTTGATGCTCACGTGTTTTGTTTGGAAGGGGTATCTAATTAAGATAAGATAATATATATCTTTATTGTCCAGATCCTGGCACATTGGTTTGGTTTTTCACCACGCACCCCTCTCCCTCCCCCCACACACACTGCACACACACACACACACACACACACACACACACACACACACACACACACATACACATACACATACTCACACATGCACACACAGAAGGCTTACAGTCACATGCATAATATACATTAAGCTTAAGCTAGATACGTAATGTTATTCTGATGCATGCTTTAATGTTATATGAATACTTAAAACAAGATGGTGAAGATGGAACAATTTTGATGGATGATGGTAAAAATGAACTTCTGTATCTTTCTTTGTACAGATCAGAAACCTAGGTCTTTCACTTCACCTTCTGCCAAACACTAATTGTCTCTTTTTCCCATCCAGAGCTCAGTAACGATCCGAATCGGATTTCCTTCTAAAGAACGAAACTGTTGTGGCTATTTCCGCGAATCGTGTGACAGAGATTAGAGTTTACTTTATCGGGAATCCCCGGAAACATTAATTCTCTCACGCACGGCTGATCTAGACGGGAAGCTGTGAGAGATGTGTGTAAGAGAGGGCGATTCCATTCCGCTATTTCTCGCAGTGCTCCGTGCCCAGCACGTTAAAGCATGGTCCTTGCCAAAACAGCCGGATATGACCCTTTCCCCCGCTACTTCCAGAAATGTAATTATGGGAATTATCTCCCTTTCCCACCATATCGCTTCGAGCGCATAATAGCGAAAATCTTGGCCCCGAGGTCGTCTTGGCAAGATTTTCGTCTCAAGTTGAGGTATTCTGGTGCGAGAAATCGGACACTTGTTTATTAGAGGCACGGGTTGCTGGTACGCTAAGGTGGACGGGTGGGCGGTTGGAGGGAGCCACGTCAATGGTAATACCTACTACTTATCTGTTTCTTTCCTTCCCGTTTACCTGTCCATCTTGCTGTTCTGATTTGTTTTTCATTCGCAAAATGGGTATTAATCTGTCGATATAAGTTTGTAGGAAGAAAATGTTTCATACTACGTTATTGTAAACCAAGTTTCCAAAGAAGCTGATATGAATCAGTTTAAAGTGTCTCTAAGATGGCCGCTACTCAATATCGAGGAGAAAATTGCCATCTGAGATTGGTGAGTATCTTACACGGCGTCATTATTATGTTTAAAAAAATATGCAAATGAGGAAATGGGAAATGGCTCGTTGTCGAGGTGACTGTCGTATACAGTTATGTTATCCTTGAGTTTTTAGACTACAGCACGTCGTGTTTTCGTTGATTGAAAGACTTCAACGCGTCATATTTTCCTTTAGCTTTGAGACTACAACACGGCAAGTTTTCACTGATTTCTAAGACTTTAACATGTTGTTGATTTCAAAGATTACAACACGTCATGTTTTGTCGCCCCCAGCTGGTCCACGGCTGTGCCAGTGCTGACCCAGGCATCCGGTACATCAATTCCTCCACGTTAACGGTCAGGCTACGTCACAGCAACGCCACAGACTACAGCTTCACCGTTGTGGTCACAGCCAGAAAAATACGTGAGTCTCAAGCTGTTTTTCGCTTTTTGAGATTATTCTGATTTATACTCTCTGTTTGTCTGCCTGTCTGCCTGCATGCATGCCTGCCTGCCTATCTGTCTGTCCGTCTGTCTGTCTGTCTGTCTGCCTGTCTGTCTGTCTGTCTGTCTGTCTGTCTGTCTGTCTGTCTGTCTGTCTGTCTGTCGGTCAGAGGGGGGCCTTGTTGGGAGGGGGGGAGGAGGATAGTGTGTGTTTGTGCTTGTGTGTTTGTGCTTGTGTGTTTGTGTTTGCAAATGTTCTCGTGTGTGTGTGTGTGTGTGTGTCTGTGTGTGTGCGTGTGTGTGCGTGTGTGTGTGTGTGTGTGTGTGTGTGTGTGTGTGCGCGCGCGTGTGTGTGTGTGTGTGTGTGTGTGTGTGTGTGTGTGTGTGTGTGTGTGTGTGTGTCACTGCAATTTAAATACTTGAATATTATGCGTGATTGCAGATACGAATCAGTGCCACTCCAGTTGCGGAGTGACATTTCCAGAAGTGATCTCAACTTCCCAAGCAGCTAATCAAACTAAACCTATTCAGTGTTGTTTTTCAATGGGCGCTTTCACAAACGTTGCGACCAAATTAAGGGAAATTACATCATGTTTTTATTCCAATTTAAGAAAACAATGAGCGCGTCAGCCATTAGCTTCTTTGTTGTTTGTCGTGTTATTGTTGTTGTTGCTGGTTGCTGCTGCTGTTGCTGTAACGTCGTTTTTTTCATATCTTTGATTTTCATTTGGTCTAACAAGACTTGTAAGAGAAAAATCGTACAACTTTTGTTACAATCCCACGAGATCAGTGCAGTGAATATGTCGGTTATTGACGGCTTTTTGTTGTTGTGGTTGTCTTTGTTCTCCCTGTCATTTTTGTTTTCGTTGATACGACTGCTGCTGCTGCTGCTGCTGCTGCTGCTGCTGCATGCTTTGTTTTAATTCTGAGAAGGCTTGTATTTTACCGCCGTGTCCTTAGATAAGTTGTCAATACAGTGTGCAATGTGCACTTCATCCATCGATGCGAGGAAGACCACCTAGTCGTCCTGAAGTCAAGGGTTAGTGAGCAAATGATTGGTCAGGTTGACCTGCAACCAGGAAGTTCTTTAATCTTTAAAGTATGGCAAGGCAGCTTTTGGTTGATATAGCCAAAATAAAGTCCAGGTTTTACTTTTCTCACTTTACAATGCGGACAAGATATGTAGCGGCAGTTGTGGATAGGCTAATGTTGTTCTTCTTGAACAACCTGTGCTGTTCACCTTAAGCAGCTCAGATGCTTTCATATCTACGTGTTCATGCAAACAACTGATCGCCGCCCGATTCTGTCATGGGCAGCCTGCTCCAATGTTGTGTAATTGATGTTTAAAGCCCTCTTGGACTCTTTCGGGCTGTCTTTGAAACGCTTCTTCTGGCCTCCATGAGCGGGTTACCTTGTTGTAGTTCACCAAACAGCGGGTTGGTGATTTGGTTTCTTTTTTATGGGGGGGGGGGTGCTTTTTTGGTTTGTTTGTTTTGTTTTGTTTTGTTTTTTGTGTTTTTTTGTTTTTTAAAACTAATGGCCTAGTATACAAGCTGCGTAACCTGCTTAGCAAAGTTGTGATGGTACTAAAATGATGAAGGTGCTAGGCAGCCCAGCTCGAGTGAGCACTTCAGTGTCCGGAAACCTCTGTTGCCACTTAATGCCCGTGAGACTTCTGAGACTGGTGGGGTGAAAATGCTTTAGTTTCACGGCACAGAGCAAAGCACGCAATTGTGGAATGCACTATGCCGCCATCGCCACAGCACAGAGCAAGGCTCAGTCTGGGACAAGAGCTAGAATCCTATGGATATCTCCACTGCCCGTAACATCAACGTATTTCTTCCTGTGGGATTTTCGTTCCTGCTACAGGAAAGTTTTGTTCTCCTCTCCCATTTTGTTTTCCTTTCTTTCCTCCGCCTTTTCCTCTTATGCTCCTCCTCTCTCGATCTCTTCTTTTATTTCACCTCCCCCACTACCTCCTCCTTTCCCCTTTTTTCTGTTCTCTTTCTTCTTCCTTTTTCTTCCTCCTCCTCTTCCATCTCATTTTCTATCTCCTCTGTCCCCCACTGGTAATCTGCAGCCTTTTCCCTTTCGTCTCCTTTACTTGTAAACGATCAAAGCGCCATTTATGAATGCGACAACAATATAGATTCTAAGACAAAGTCGCACCAAAAGCACAAAAAACCCACAAAAAACACCCCATCAACCACAACCTCCCCCAAACAAGCAGATATTTTCGACATTTGACAACATTAACAATCAGAAGATTATCGACTAAAAACCGTCATCGATTCATTACACTTAACGTGGAAAAAGACAAGTTGTATCATCCAGGTTTTCCACCCGCGCATCTCATTTATTTAATGACAATCACTTTGCCTACGAGTCGTGAATCCATGTTCATCACTGTTCCTATAATTCTGCAGCAAAATATCTACTTGTAAGAATGATCAGTCAAACGGAACGAACAATGGGAACCATTTGAGAAATGAGAAACATCTCCAGATTGCCATCACTGCTGATATTCTAGAAACGTTTTGATAATTGTTTCTGCTTTTGGTCTCCATAATTGTTTGCTTGGTTGTCTATTGTCAATAGCTTTAACAAATCTCTTACTCTATTGTGTTATTCCCACACTTTAATATCATTATCGCCCATCATGTATTTATTGTTTGGTTTGCGAGAGGGGATGGGTGGGAGGTATGTCAATTTTGTGTCTGTCTATCACACACGCAAACTCACACACACACACAAACACACACACACACACACACACACACACACACACACACACACACATACACACACACACACACACACACACACACACGCGCGCGTGCACGCTCTGCTCACACACTCACAGAGGCAATCTCAAGCCTTCCACCTTTCAGCTTTCCCTTCACATTGTTATTCGCAATATCATGAAGACTTCATGAGGCGAAGTTTATTGTTCTCGTAACCCCATCTACTCTTCCAGCAGGAGTTCTGCCTATAATGAGCTGCACGATTTTTCTCCATCAATCTTTCAAAGCTTCTGTGCGCCATACAGTATGTAATAAAAACGCACACAGCTTGAATAAACGCACAATGAAGTGATTTCTTTTTTTATATAGCGGTAATGGCAATTTTACTGCCCAGAAAATTATTGTCATTATGCCCATAATAAGAGTCCAAACCATCTTTTCTTCATCAGGCACAAGACCGGATGTGGCTTGTGGCGGCTTCCAGTGTGACAATGGCGCGTGCGTGGCCAAATCTCTGATGTGTGACACGGTAGACAACTGTTTTGACTACAGTGATGAGTCCTTTAACAGCAGCGCCCGCTGTAACGGTAACTTTATCGTTTGTCTCTCGTTCTGCTATGTTATTCCTGTGTAGTAGACCATAATAATATGTTGATTCATCGCAGCACGAACAGTATGTGAAACGTCGGGCAGATATTGGAAAAAGACGTAATTGAAAACCGATTAAGATAATAATATTTTTATGCGGAGCGAAATGGCTCACCAATTCAATATGTCCCGCCCCATTACCATGTCTTTTTCATCCTGTCAATATGTTTACATCATCTGTTCATTGGCGTCTTGGTCGTTCTATGTCTCTATTGCCTTCCTCTCTTCTAGTCTACACAGTTTCGGCAGTCCATATTGCCTCGTTATCTGTCCAAAATAAACAGCCAGTTCGAGTCTTTTTTTCTGTTTTCATGACTTCATTCCAGAAATTTTTTTAATGAATGTTTTTCGTTACATATTCTGTCTTTTCAACTATTCACTCTAAAAGTGCATAATTAAAGAATTTAGTCATGTCTTACACTCACTATCCATAGATTCATGTAGCCATCTTTGTCGGTTGGGAATAGCTTGCTATCAAAGTGGCCTAGTTGCTTATGTTCTGTTTAAGGTATGAATATGAAAAGAGAGTTTTGACACTTCTTTTGCTTAAAACCGAGTAAAATAAAAGAATGCGAAACCATGTCAACAGTTTCTCGCATTTATCCGCACAAAGCGCTGAAAAGAGCCTGAAGAAAGGTATTCAGTTCCTTTGCTGCCAGTGTCTATATTCATAAAATGATGCCTCAATCTACATGTGGTCTGTCTGAATGTGCTATGTATATTTAAGTAGCGCCAACTTTCAGGAGCATTCCGACTCGTCTAAAAAGATGTTATAAAGCTTACAGATTTCTACAGGATGTGCGTTCCCAGCATTAGATTATTGTATTCCCATTTCCATTACACGGATCTAGGACTTTTAAAATATGTTTTGAATCTAATAAAGATGTTATTTTAACCTATTTGCTCTCTACTTGTTTTATCCAGTTTTGTTTCACCTATTTATTATGCCTTTATTACTTTGTTGGCTGGGGTTTTTCCCTTTTTAAAAATATTTTTAAAAGTTGATTCTATTCAGGGTTTCAGTGATGCTTCGAAACGGAATTGGGAAAAAAAGAGTGTTGGGGAGATAGATAGATTAGATATTTAGACAGACAGACAGACAGACAGACAGACAGACAGACAGACAGACAGACAGACAGACAGACAGACAGATGAATAAAATGATAGATAGATAGATAGATTGATAGATAGACATCTGGTAGATAGATAACGATGAATGAATGGACTCTCTCTGAAACAATTTCGAAACCTCTACATTCCCTTCCTAAGTAAATATTGGCATCCGGATCACATCGTCTTCAAACCTTTTTCGCTTCCTTTTTGGCAACAGGTGGTTTTTGGCCTTTCAAGGGAGAAAACTGGGGCGTCCTGGCCAGCGTTCTTGGTGCGGGCGTGGTCCTCGGTGTTACAGCAGCCTGTTGTCGTCACATCCGCCAGCGCAGACGCAGCTCACTGGACGACCTCTACGATCTGAATGAGGGTCCTTATGTGCACAAATACGGTAAACACTTAGAATGAGAGTCGTTTTGTGCGCAAATAAGGTAAACAATAGGAATTAGTTCCTCGTGTGCATGAACACCGTAAACACTTAATAGAATGAGGTTCCTTATTCTTCGACAAGCAATTCAAATATTCCGACCAAGAAAGCATTTTTATTTAGGCGAGAATAAATATCAATTCATTTTTTAACAATTGTACTAACATTGTGTACCTTTTCGAGGGTGGGGGGGGGGGGGGGGGGGGCAGCATGTAGAATTTAAAATTCGACAAAATGGTTTCAACTCATGCAAATAATACCCCGAATTAAGAAACTATAATAAAATAAAGTGTTTAAAACTGTGGGCTTAGTACATCCGAACAGCTGGCCGACGTAATACATTACTACGGTGAGAATTTGACTATGAATACAATATGTACAATAAGCGCCTGGAAGATGTAAAGAAAGATGAATCAGCTCTTTAGAAGAACCCAGCACTCAAAAGCCTTATTGTGTTTGAAAGAGTGGCAAAATCGTAACACAATTACTATGGCTTAATTTTCTTATTGTCTGGGAAACGCAGTGAGGGAGGCAGAATTTATCATTAATTAAGTTATGACTTGTTTATCGAAAATAATGATGTGGTACTTGAAGAAACCCACGTTGGCCGTCCGCTGATGAGCAGAGTGGCAACATACTGTCTCCTAAAAGAGCTCAATAGTGTTGATAGTGGTGTTAAAAGAACCGTGAACATTTTAGATTGTCGGAAAAGAGAAAAAGGTTGCGAACCATGTGCACAGATATCATTCTCAGATTTGGTATTTGAAGAGGAATGACCGGCATCTGTGGTGTAGCGATTAAGCATTTTGCTGTCGCTCGCAGGGAACCGAGTTCGATTCCCAAGGGGGAGAATAATGTTATTGGGTATCTCGGCTGTTCTGTTGGGATATTGTATATCTCTCAGTCCGGGTCGGCCCTGATAGGCAGGGTAGAAAGCCTGCCGCCAAAATGATCTAAATTGTGCAGATGGGAGCGAAAAACCCCCACATACATTTGAAAAGAAAGAGGAATGGGTTGTAGAAACATAATTGATTACAACAAAGCATACAATTCCGTCCACCTCTTAAATAACATTATAATGTTGATAGGGGGTGTGAAACCTATTTACATTTTACCATTCTTACAAACCCTGATGTTGTTCTTCCATCTCTACTCGTCCACAGCCTACCGCTACGCTGTTATTCGACCCCCGAAGAAACCCAACAAGACGAATGTTGTCTTGGGGAGAGATGGGTAAGTAACGTGCACCATCACTCCAACTGCAGACTCCCAAATACTAAAGACTTTTTTTCACAAAATGAACAGTTTAACGACGTCAGAGAGGAGACACTTGTCTATGTCTATAAAAGCGTGCAATGTTAAAAATTAACCAAACCACAATTGCAACAGGGTATCAAACAAAACGAATAACTATCTATCTATCTATCGATAAGTCTGTCTGTCAATCTGTCTATCTGTCTGTCTGTCAATCTGTTTGTCTGTCTGTCTGTCCGTCCATCTATCTATCTATCAATCTATCTATCTATCTATCTATCTATCTATCTATCTATCTATCTATCTGTCTATCTATCTATCTATCTATCAATCTATCTATCTATCTATCTATCTCTCTGTCTATCTGTCTGCTGTCTGTCTATCTATCTATATATCTGTCTATATGTCTATCTATCTGTCCATCGGTCTGTCTCACTGCTCATCTGTCTGTCTGTCTCTTTATCTGTCTCTCTGTCTGCCGATCTCTTTATCCAGATCTATCTCTTTTCTAAGAAGCCATGACCTGGTTTTGTCCCCAGTCACATGCATTACAACGCCACCCATGTATGACGGCGAGCAGTTGCGACACCTTGTTGTTTTTGCTGAAGTGCCTGGTGAGTACATTATGTAGTTTTCACGCACTCTTATGCACACTCACTTTCACAAACACTCACGGATACACACACAAACACAAACTTACTCAAACACACACACTGTAACACAAACACTCTACCACGAGTATTGACACACATATTATTATACTCAAGCATAAGCTTGAACGATAGCGATGTTGAAAACGCACTCGCGCGGATTCACACATACACAAACACGCACACGGGTGATAAAATTCTCATTTATTAACTTATCAAAATCAGCTTTTCTCAAGCACAAAAGATATCAAGCTTTCATTCCCAAAGACATAAAAAGAATATTTACAAGAATAGGATCAAGATTTAATCTCTGCGATCTGATTTCCACTTTGTCAGCCTAATCTTGTTCTAAAGCTATCTTGTCTCCTTCATATTCTCCATCAGTTTTGTTCACTTAACCCGAGACTACGCGGACCACGACAACTCTTGACGAAGACGCCAACAACTTTGTCGCCCTCCATGAGTATGAGACAGAGATGTGCTTTCGTCTTAAATGGACTCTCGTCAGGAAACTCCGAAAAGCCGAGGAATCGTGTTCAAGTAGGGCGTCGGAGGCACGCCTGCGACCTCATCAATGACACGATTCTCATACCAGATTTGATTGGAGAAGCGATACCTGAAGGCTTCTTCCTTG